TTTATGTGAATGTGTAAGCTCATGTCAACGCTGTACAGCTAAAGGTGACTGTTACCAAGCAAAAGACGACAGCATCTACGATCTAATTGGGGTGGAAGGATTTCCCGGTCAATGGGCTGATTATAGCAGATCAAAGAAGACAATCTAAAGTCAACCTTGTCACCTGGCCAGTGTGTAAATGTTGCAAAATAAGTAATTTTTCCCTGTTTTTCCCTCGAAGACCTAGACGAAAGCATCTAGTCTAGAGTCCACTGTATGCATGATCATTTGCAGAGTCGGACTGCAAACGTGGTACATTCGCAGACGCTTCGCCGGCATCGTAGTCGGCATCGTCAGTGTGTATTGCCGGTCTTAGCAAAAATTTGTGAAAACAAGGTGAAACAACTTCTGTACAACGAAAGGAGACTGCGATCACACAAAAGGCCACACAATTTTGGTCTTCATACCTTCGATCAAGTAATTTTTCGCTCAATTATAGTGTTACTAGACTACCAGTCGATCAGATATATGAGGTGGAAAAGTAAGATCTTCTCATGTAATTGTGAAACAATTCAATTCTCAGTCGTCCCGTATAACTTTACACGAAATAGAATAAAAACACCTCATCTAAATATGCATACAGCAGGAGTGTTCGTGCTTGCAGGCACCAGACGACCGACGTTAAACGCCGGTGGACCTACCGAAGTTTGCTCTCTACTCGACGCCTGTTGCCGACGGAGTCCGTTGGGGGAGTGACTGAGCGTTGGGCGGGCCGCCGGAGGCTCGGCTCTTCTGCCGGGGTCGGCAGGAGTCGTGACGACAGCCGGCGGATGCGCGGGCACCAGATGGTACTTGAGAAGGGCGCATCTGCGACCCTCTCGGCCCAGTTGTATGAGTCGAAAGGTGCCGGAGGGACCGGTTAATGTTGACTGCGCGGGGTCGAGGTCGACGATGCAGGAAGCGCCGATCCGACGCCCATCGACGAGGGTGTAGGCCGGCTCGGGCGGCTTGATAGAAGCGTCAAGCGCGGGCGTAAGCAGAAAGCCGGCGAATTGCTTGTGGCCGGGCTTGTCTGAAGGCACCGGCGTCAGGGTGCAGTGGACAGGACGCACTTCGGGATAGACAGACTGAAGGAGCACAACCAGAAGACAGACAGGGGAGGGTGGAAATGAGGCGAAGAGGCAGGAGAGATGAATGGGTATACACGTTTAATACAGTACGAAATATTTTATTGATAAGTTTATGAGAATTAAATATTATTTTTGTGACTGGCGGTACTACCGGTAAATAAGTAGTATGAGATGTATTCACGCAATTTTGTTTAAGGTCATGAAGGACTGGTAGAAGATGAATTTTCCCACAATCATATGAGTTGAACAATCGACTACTATACTTTATTTTTTTCGAATTAAGTATTGT